TGTCGCAAAAATACATATATTCATATCAATCAAAAAGGCTCCCCAAAAATATAGCCCACAAAAGTGTAAATCACCATATAACTAACGTTCTTTAAACAGAGGTGCTGGCAGCTTCATTGTATGAGGTTTGGAAAAGTAAGCTTCCAGGGGAAAAAACAACTGAAAGATAAGAAAATAGAAACTGTGAAAAAGGTGAATTAAATGTTGATTATTTTTCCATTTATTTCCGTGTTCTTATTACTGTAGAGGAAGCCTGCAGAGACCACCTTTCAGTCTATGCAGATTTTAAGGCAAAAAAAAAATTTTTTTTTCACCCTCAAATATTTATTGAGTACCTGTTTAATGCGAAGCGTGGAACACAAATTATAAGATGTTGGTTTAAATTGAAGCTGTTGTGACTTCATTTCGAATAATTACTATTTGTGATTATGGAATCATATTCTTTAGAAATTTTTAAAAATTACCACCTGTACCTAAATTTCTCCCCCAAAATACTTTTTTTTTCAAATTCAAATGTCATAGGCATTTACCTGCACCTGTTTTGGAATCTATTTTGATACATAAAATTGAAGTGCTTCAGCTTGTCTTTAAGTCAGTAGTGGTTTATTAAACGGTTGTATCACATCTGGAAAACATTATTCAAAACATTTATTCAGCCTACTTCCTGTTCATATTTTAGAAGATGTAAAGCAATGAAATTTGCTCTAAATAAATGGCATTTTTGGGCCATTATTTGGCATTTTGCCAGGTTACTTTTTACATCCAAGTTCAAGTGATACTTTGTTCTCAAAATAATTTTCAAGGTTTGGAAGTATAATGCGAAAGTTTTAACAGGGATTCTTACCCCAAAGGATCTGAGAAGCCTGATTTTTTTTTTTTTTTTTTTACCTTTTATGCATGTTTGTGTGCACGTGTGTGTGTCATTTGTACCCTTTGTAAGTACTTTTACCATGTTTAAAAAAGGAATTTTTTAGTAAAAATTTAGCTTGATTACAGTAAAAAAATTAATAATTGTCTCAATAGCTTTCTAAAAATAAAACCAAATCCTTGTAAAAATATGTATTCATATTACATCAATGACTGTTTCCAACTTTACTGCATGCCTTTTGGGGGTCACATGTATTCATCACCGAATATTTGCAACTTAATGTTATTTAAATTAGTGACGCTGATGGTAATAGTTATATGGTATTTTATTGCCTGTGCCTGTTGAATAAAGCTGATGTTTTGTCAGCTCTTAAAGGAAAAAAAAATTTTTTCTTGACATCCACAAAGCTACGGGTACAGGGGTCGAGACTGCCGTAACAACCTGTACTTGCTTCCGACGGGAGAGACCGTCTACTTCATCGCGTCTGTGGTGGTGTTATACAATGTGGAGGAGCAACTGCAGAGGCATTACGCTGGCCACAACGATGACGTGAAGTGGTAAGTCCTGAAACAGGTCATTCCTGCTACTCGGAAGGCCGAGGTGGGAGGATCGCTTGAGGCCAGGAGTTCCAGACCATCCTGGGCAACAGTGAAACTCTGTCTATAAAAAAAATAAAAATAAATGTGATTCCCGTTGCACAGGTGGAAAGAGCATTAGCAGAACACGGTCAGTATTGGGACATAACTAAAGAGAAGGAAGAGGGTCTGAGGAAATGCGGTCTTTGGGAGAGCTCTTCTGTGTGGTCTCCTTGTGGTCTGCTTGCTGCTGCGCTCCATGAGACACCTCTCATGTTTAGTTTTCCAGCCTCACCAACACAAGAGCTTCACGGACCGCATTGTTTCAACTAAGAGCACCACCTCTTTGGAGGCCTTCTTAACACATCATGTGTTAAAGGCTTCTAATTTGGGTCTTTATTTTTTGGTAAACATAAAAACATGTTGCCTCAGGTTTACGGCTGAGTCGGCTCTTCCCATAATTCATTTATAGCTTTTGGTAGGCATTTTACGTATCTTGGAAGGATGGATGTGTGAAGAGATGGATTTATATATTTGTCCTGGTTCCTTGGTCAATGATAAAAATCCTGTTGGCGAAAGATGGCATCTTTCCTATTTACGTACTCAACATGACTTTTTAATAAGGATTGTAGACTGATGTAGTGGTTCTGAGGTTGAAATGGTATTTTCCCAGCAGAGGATGCTTTTTCCTTAAGTTTGAAAATTCTTAAGAAGAAATAAGGGAATTAAGATTAAATGAATTAGGCACTAGTTGTTTCCTAACGTCGTAGTGCTCAGAGAATTTGTCATGAGTCTGTAAGAAGTTAGGCATTACATATTTCTTATATTTAAATTTTTGACTAGATAATATTTGAGCAAGGGAAAAGTAAAACTTACCTGTGACATGTAGATGTTTTATAAATACCCTTTTGTTAGCCTAGCAGTTCATCCTGACCGGATCACGATAGCAACAGGACAAGTCGCAGGCACATCGAAGGATGGAAAAGTGAGTTACGTTACCTTTTCATTGTTTCATAATAAACTGGTAACACAAAGTAATTTTTAGAAAACATTGTGCTGCTGAGTAAGGCTGCTTAGATATAATTATGGTATCTGAAAACTTCTGAACCCCTCACTAGAATTTTTTATTGTAAATTAGAAGACTTATTGTGTGGCAGGATGCAGTGGCTCACGCCTGTAATCCCAGCACTTTGGGAGGCCGAGGTGGGCGGATCACAGGTCAGGAGATCGAGACCATCCTGGCTAACATGGTGAAACCCCGTCTCTACTAAAAATACAAAAAAAAATAGCAAATTAGCTGGGCGTGGTGGTGGGCGCCTGTAGACCCAGCTGCTCGGGAGGCTGAGGCAGAAGAATGGCATGAGCCTGGGAGCGGAGGTTGCAGTGAGCCGAGATCGCGCCATTGCACTCCAGCCTGGGCGACAGAGCGAGACTCCGTCTCAAAACAAACAAACAAACAAAAAATACAAAAATTAGCCAGGTGCGGTGGCACATGCCTATAGTCCTAGCTACTTGGGAGGCTGAAGCAGGAGAAATACTTGAACCCAGGAGGCGGAGGTTGCAGTGAGCCAGGATCATGCCACTGCACTCCAGCCCGGGTGACAGAGAGAGAGACTAAGTCTCAAAAAAAAAAAAAAAAAAAAAGACTTACTGTGACCTTAAAAATCCCTGGAGCTCATCTTAATTTTATCAGATTTTTAAATAGCATTGTTCTGAATAAAGAATTCACAGATTCTTAAACTGTTTATTTATATGATAAGCATTAAAAATATGAAGGTAAACACTTAATGAAGTTAAAATTATAATAAATAATAATTTGAATATACAACATTTTGCCAAATTTCAGCCACCCTCTGCCTTGTCCTGTGAATGTCCTTTAACAGTCGTGACTTTAACCCATGGAGTTTGTGTCTGTGTGCAAGTCACAAAAGCTACTAGGAGGTTTTTAGCACAAATTTTGCAAGCACTTCAGCAAGACTTTAATTTGCATTTTAAGGCGTTAAGAGAGGGAGCTTGTAGCTTTTTTGATAGCTACTTTTATATAGTTTGTTATTGCATAATATTTTATCTGAAACTAATTTCTTTAAGTACATACATTTTATCAACATGTTTTCATCCAGAAAAAATGAATACTACCGTATTTCAGAAAATATTTTAGTAACATTGGATTTTAAATATTAATCTTATGCTATTTTCTGGTTTTGTTTTGTTTGGTTTGGTTTGGTTTTTTTTTTTGGGACAAGGTCTCACTCTGTCACCCAGGCTGTAATGCAGTGGCACAATCACGGGTCATTGCCACCTCTGCCCCCCAGGCTCAGGTGATCCTCCCACCTCAGCCTCTTGAGTAGCTGGGAGTACAGACGCACGTCACCTCACCCAGTTAATTTTTGTATTTTTTGTAGGGACAGCATTTCACCACATTGCCCAGGCTGGTCTCAAACTCCTGGGCTCAAGCGATCCGCCCACCTCAACCTCCCGAAGTATTGGGATTACTGGCATCAACCACTGCACCTGACCTCCATTAATATTTTATACTTGAAAAGAGTTAACAGAAATAATGGAAATCAGACCACTGTTGTATAAATAAATTCACTTAAATTGAATGGGTCTTTCTATCTTTTTTGGTTTATTGTTAAATGGCTTAGAAAAATTCTTTGAAATGAATAGTAAACCATTTGTTCCTCCCTCTAGTGGCTTAAAAGTATATTTCAGTTTCTGGTATTGAAATTGAATCGGTACTTGAGAACCAGAGAAAAATGTTATAGCTATCTTTCAGTTTACCTATAGAGAAATCCAGAGAGGCCTAGGGAATGCCTGCAGACACCCAGCTACTTAGAGATTAGACTGAACTAGAACCTGGTTCACCTAACGCCTGCCTAGTGTTTCTACTAGGTCCAATGCCAGCACCTTTTCTTTTTGATAAATCTACTGGTTGCTCTATGATGCTTCCTTCTATTAAGGAAGAGGAAAATTAACATAAATAACCTAGGAACACAGTTGAGAGGATTTTAAACCAATTATAATAATTCTAAATCTTATTTGTACATAATCGATGCCTGTTTTGCCCAAGAATGTTAAGCTATCTTTTTTTTTTTTTTTTTTTTTTTGAGTTTCACTCTTGTTGCCCAGGCTGGAGTGCAGTGGTGCAATCTTGGCTCACTGCAACATCCACCTCCCGGGTTCAAGCGAGTCTCCTGCCTCAGCCTCCCAAGTAGCTGGGATTACAAGCATGCACCACCACATCCGGCTAATTTTTTGTATTTTGTAGAGACAGGGTTTCACCGTGTTGGTCAGGCTAGTCTCGAACTCCTGACCTCAGGTGATCCACCTGCCTCAGCCTCCCAAATTGCTGGGATTACAGGCGTGAGCCACTACGCCTGGTCTGTTAAGCTCTTAATATTATTTGGTGGTGACCATCTTATGAACTTAGGCATGGTGACACTTTAGCAATGAAACAGACTTTAAAAGAATAACCCATATGTGAGATTCCATTTTACTTGTCATTTTTTCATTTCTAAAATTCAGACACATTTAGATGCACAAATTAAAGTGTCAGTTCCCATGATACTATTGTCAAAAATTGGCCATTCAAATTTCAAAACTCGGTAGACCTTTCCTTAGTGTTAAATTATCAACAAGGCCCTCCACCTCCTGAAGCCCCTGGGAATGTTTTATTTACATAAAAAGGCAGACTCCTGAAATGCAGAAAAAGCTCTTTTGTTTTGACAAAGTCCGAGTTACTGTCCAAGCAATCTTGTAGCGTTAAGGTAAAGACACATGTGTATCCCCCTCACAGTTGATGGCTCTGTGTTTTTTTTCTAAATAGCAATTGCCCCCACACGTGCGCATCTGGGATTCTGTGACATTGAATACTCTGCACGTCATTGGAATAGGTTTTTTTGACCGAGCAGTCACCTGTATTGCATTCTCAAAATCTGTAAGTACGTGCCATGTGGGTATTGCTGTCTTCTTCCACAGGAAGTAGAGAATCAACTCAGGGTTGAAGAGGGGGAGTTGACACACTCGATACCTGCCCCGGTGTATGTACAGATTTGGACTCTGAAACATTCCTGCTTCCCAGGACTTCTCAGTCAGAGGTCATATGCATGTCTCATCAGGGACACACACTTCCAATCAGACATCTCTAGCCACATGGGTTTGGTGATGAAAACAGACCCCCAGAGGCATTGTCCTCACTTTCCTTGAGGCTATTTGTGTGCTCTGGCCTTGAATTTTACCTGCTTCTTTCGAGGGTGGCTCCAGTGTGTCTGTCTCTGCCATTCTGCTACTGGAAAGGGGTCCCAATCCAGACCCCAAGGGAGAGTTCTTGGATCTCTCGTAAGAATTCAAGGCAAGTCCATAGAGTAAAGTGAAAGCAAGTTTATTAGGAAAGTAAAAGAATAAAAGAATGTCTACTCTATAGAGCAGTCCTGAGGGCTGCTGGCTGCCGATTTTTTTATGACGATTTCTTGATTATATGCTAAACAAGGGGGGGATTATTCATGCCTCCCCTTTTTAGACCATATAGGGTAACTTCCTGATGTTGCCATGGCATTTGTAAACTGTCATGGTGCTGGTGGGAGTGTAGCAGTGAGGACAACCAGAGGTCACTCTTGTCGCCATCTTGGTTTTGGCAGGATTTAGCCGGCTTCTTTACTGCAAGTGATTATATCAGCAAGGTTTTTATGACCTGTATCTTGTGCCAATCTCCATCTCATTCTGTGACCTAGAATGCCTAACCACCTGGGAATGCAGCCCAGTAGGTCTCAGCCTCATTTTACCTAGCCCCTATTCAAGTTGCTCTGGTTCAAACGCCTCTGATATTTCTCCCCTCCCTTTTATAAGAGAATCCTTAATCCTAAGGGTTAAGGGACAAAGATCCATCTTCTGTAAGTTCTTCAGGCTGAATAGGGGTGATGATATTCCTGCCTAACTGTTAGGGTCTCTTGTATTTGGAGTAGAGAAGAGCTCAGTCAGAAAGCATCAGTTTGGCAAGGTGATATCTGGAAGATTAATAAGTGTTCAACTTAAGAAAACATTGAGGAAGCTTATCCTGTATTCCTACACAAAGAGTACAACAGCAATATATTCCACAACAGTAAAACAAAATAAACAAAATTATCCCAAGGAAACTAAGAAGGCTTTTTATTAACTGGGCAACTATTGGAACCAAGCTGATATGGGGGTCTCTAGCTGATTCCAGTGTCTCCAGAATTAGAATACTGATCCAGATATTTACATTACCCATCGCTTTTATTTATTCTGAGCAGCGGTCAGAGATCACTGGTTGGTTCACAGGAATAAGCGGGGTTAGTCTAAATTGCAGAAAAAATTTAAAAACAACTGTTGAAACTAGAATCTAATAACAAATGTACCATAGTTCTTGAAATATAATTTCTGTCTCCAGTCTCCCATTTTTACTAAAGACAAACCATGATAGGACTGATTTGTTTGGAAACATAAGCCTTAGTCTTATATACTTGGCTGGATTATTGTATAAAGTACAGCAAGAATATTTATTTTTCACATAGGCTTTTTAAATTGCCTTTACTGGAACTCTGTTCCATAAGGAATCTCAGATAAGACCTTTTTTAAAGCAAGCCCAGCCATGGGTTTATATCCTCAAATACCTATGGGTTGGGTAAATTCCTCTCCTCTTGGGGGGTCCCAAGATAACTTGGGGCTCCTGGGCCTGTGAGAAAGTGACATTCTTTACTTACCACAGGTCAGGAACCCTTTACAGGGACTATGGAGACAAGGTACAAGGCCAGTTTCCCCCAAGGGTCTTCTATGCACTCTACAATTCAAATTTGATTCCTTAAAGGAAAGCATGCCATTCCTGTCAAAAAAATAACCAGTTTCTCCAGTTGTGTCCTGTTACAAACAAAAACAAATTCTTTACAATTATGCAATTAACTATATTGCCATAAATTAAGAATACTCACGAATAGTTTCTAAATTCTGGAGAAATCAGGTAAAGAGAAACATATGCTTCAAATTTTGTTCATAGCAGTGTACTTTACTTGTTAAAAGCTCTAAATAGCTCAAAAGAAAAGTTTTCTTGACTTTGAAAAAAACAAAGGATCAGCAACGTTTTAAGCAAAGTCAAAAAAGATGACTTCAGTCTTCTATTAGTTTGGTTCATGCAGTTAACTCCTGTTCTGCTTGATATTCAGGAACATTTTAGCTCTCCATGAGAGTCCTGAAAGTTTTTTCCTCTATTCTAATGTTACAACTTCGAAAGTAATCAGAAACTTGCATTCAAGAGCACTTGTTAAAGGCCTATATCTGATTATAAGCCACCTTTTAAATAGGACCAAAACAAGACAAGAATTGTCTGTGGATAACAAAAAGTCTTAGGACAGCCACAGTTAAAGCCACAATTGACAACGAAATTTACTCCTGGAGCACACAATAATTTAACATAACAAGTACAACTATTAATAACATACACTAAGTCATATCAGAATTATAGGAGTTTCACCTAATTTTGGAACACATACCAATAACATATTTATACAAATATAACCCAAAGAAAGCCAATTTCCTATTTGACAATGCTTCCTGTATGACTTTTATACCAAATAAGCCAAATTTCACCTTTATATTTGTGTACTATTGATGTTAAATATTCTTAATAAAACCTCATAGATAAATCTATTCTTTTTTTTTTTTTTTTTTTTTTTTGAGACAGAGTCTCACTCTGTCACCCAGGCTGGAGGGCAGTGGCATGATTTCAGCTCACTGCAACCTCCGCCTCCCAGGTTCAAGCAATTCTCCCACCTCAGCCTCCCTAGAAGCTGGGATTACAGGTGTACACCACCACGCCCAGCTATTTGTTTGTATTTTTAGTAGAGACAGGTTTCACTATGTTGGCCATGCTGATCTTGAACTCCTGACCTCAAGTGATCCACTGGCCTTGGCCTCCCAAAGTGCTGGGGTTACAGGTGTGAGCCATCGTGCCTGGCCAATCTATTCCATTTTAATCAGTATGACCATAAGGTAAGATTTTTATAAACTGTTTATTAATCCTTTACAATTTTTGTTAAAAAGCAGATCATTGCTCAGAGAAAAACCCGTTGTGCTTTTATTCCAATGTTTAATTTACAGAAAAATTGATTAATACCCCTTTAACTTTAGCCAATATGTTCACACAGAATTTCTTTTACAAGATTAATTTTTCACAAACTTTTGACAACTTGCTTTAACTTTCAGCTTTATCCTATCTAATTTAAAACAATAATTTAACTTTTTAATCTAGGTGAAAAAATAATAATAATAATAATTCACCTTTCCATGCCTTCTTATAATTTATTACCAAAACACATTTCACTTTCTTTGTACACCTTACATGTAAAATTGTTTTTATTACCCAAAAATTACTTAAGTCATGTGAACTGAAAGGCATTACACTTTTTACTTTTCTTACAAAATATTTGATTTAAGCTCTTATTATTACACCAATTAATCAAAGCTCTTTCATATACAGACATCACACACATAATACATGTAAATACACAGACAAAAAATAAAAGACTCATTCCCTCAACCAGGAATTGAACCCTGATCCCAGGCTGCCATTGTGATGGCAGAGACCAAGATAAAGTACTGCCACATGGTTACAAGGTCAAGCTCCCAAGCACCTGAAACAAGATAAGAGCAAAACTTTATCCAGATTTTTTTCAGGAACCTGCCGCAAAATTTATAACTGACCAGTTTGCTGTGCTACCTTGAACAGTGGACTTACAGGGTCTTAGGCCCACATTCTATCCTATGGTACCCCTCTTTATGACAGAACGATATAGAAAGACAAATTTATAACACAAAGTACAACAGATTCTCTACAGCTTAAGATTACCCTCACAAATCCTTTTTTCCCTTTAATCAAAACTTTACAGGAGATAAACAGTGATTTTTGCCATTCATTCAACCAGTTTGCATAGAGAGAGGGAGGTAGAGCAAGGCCAGAAGTCTGACTGGTAAGAAATTCTTACTCTCTTGCTGGCGTGGCAGGCTTCTGGATTCCCTTTCCCTGAGGCGGCCCTAGTGATCCGGCTGGCTGCACCACAGCCCTGGGGCCAAGCCACATCATAAAGGAAAATTACCTTTTTCCGTCCTGGCCAGAGCAAAATATGTGTGACGAAACATGGACATTAGCCATTCAGCTTAGCACACGATATCAAACTGGCAAGGCTCAAACATGCCCCTGGTTGGCCCCATCCTTGTTAATCCAGTCTCCAACCAGGAGTTTCAACTTATGGTCTCTGGGCAAGATGGTGGCCCTGAGTAATAGAAAACATAAGAAAGGGAAAGGAGAGAGAAAAAAGCATTGCCTGTGGCAGGGCGGGGAAGGCGAAGAGCTCAGGGAGGCCAGAGAAAGACCTGCCCACTGCAGCGACACTGAAAAGTTCAGGTGGCTGCTTGTTGATAACAAAGGGATCTTTTCCTGCATTCCCATCAGCTCTTAAATTTCCCCTTTTGGGGAGGAAAAAGCTCCCCATATCCCATGATCTTGTACATGCCTAATTCTGTCACTCTAGACATCGGCAAAGAGTGCAAGGCAGATTAATCCAAAGATAATAGCAGTTAACATCCCATAGTGCCAAACCTGTTCTTAGCTGAAAGGGGCTTTACTGAGAAGGGCCTCTCACCCCCTAAATCTTAGGAAGGAATCTAACCTTCCTAAATTGGGCCTGGAACCCAAGGTCTGTCAAACGTCCTTGCCTTTTATTAATAGGGGCATTTAACTCACTCTGTCTTAGGAGAGACTCCTAAGTTGGGCCTCTAACCAAATCCCGTCCTTTGCCCAGGTATATGCACCCCACTTACCCAAAATCAGTCATTCGGTGTGTACAGATGATTTTTCTTTGCGTCGGGGGTCTCTTCAGTGTCATCCCTTTGGGGTTCACCAGAAAGATATTACCAGACCCCACCACTTACTAAAGTTAGCCTTTGGATCGGAGGTTTCCTCAGTATTGTCTCTTCTGTGGTCTCCAGAAGGATGTCACCGGACCCCACCACTTACCCAAAGTCAGCCTTTGGGTTGGGAGTTTCCTCAGTGTCGTCACTTCATGGTCACCAGAAAGATGTGACCATAAAGGGGTCCCCATCCAGACCCCAAAAGAGAGTTCTTGGATCTCACGCAAGAAAGAATTCTAGGCGATTCCATAAAGTGAAAGCAAGTATTTTAGGAAAGTAAAGGAATAAAAGAATGGCTACTCCATAGACAGAGCAGCCCCAAGGGCTGCTGGTTGCCAGTTTCATGGTTATTTCTTGATGATGTGCTAAACGAGGGATGGATTATTGATGCCTCCCCTTTTTAGAGCATATAGGTTAACTTCCTGACGTTACCATGACATTTATAAACTGTCATGGTGCTGGTGGGAGTGTAGCAGTGAGGACGACCAGAGGTCACTCTGTTGCCATCTTGGTTTTCGTGGGATTTAGCCGGCTTCTTTATTGCAAGATGTTTTATCAGCAAAGTCTTTATAACCTGTGTCTTGTGCCAACCTCCTATCTCATTCTTTGACCTAGAATGCCTAACCATCTGGGAATGCAGCCCAGTAGGTCTCAGCCTTATTTTACCCAGCCCCCATTAAAGATAGACTTGCTCTGGTTCAAACGCCTCTGTCAAGCCCAACGTGGCTGGCAGGCAGCCTGGCCGCAAGCAGGGATTGGACAGGGCCTTGTGGTCTTCCAGGCTTCCTTAGGACATGCTGGTTCAGCAGACCCACCCCACACTCTTTTAAACCACTTCAACCACTTCAGAAACCCGTATTCACATACATGTGCACATGCTCACATGAAAAGACCCCCGTGTACTCAGGCTTCCAGAGCCGAGGCCTTGTGCAGCCCTGCGGCAGCCACGTTCACAGCTGCTAACAGCCCCTGTGCCACGCCTGCTGCTAACAGCCCCTGTGCCACGCCTGCTGCGGGCACTGTCTGCTCTAGGAGGGTCTCTTGTTTTCATGCAACCCAGTGGTGAAGAGACACCGCCCTGGCCCCTCTCTTCCCCAACTCCTGTTTCTTCACTCCCCATCATTTACCTGCTCTTTCTGTCTGGTCAAGAAAGCATGTCTTGGCTGGGCACAGTGGCTTGGTCAGGCACAGTGGCCAACACTTTAGGAGTCTGAAGTAGTAGGATTGCTTGAACCCAGGAGTTTGTGACCAGCCTGGGCAACATAGGGAGATCCCATCTCTACAAATAGTAATAATAATAATTATCTGGGAGTGCTGGTACACACCACGGTCCCAGCTACATGGGAGGCTGGGGTAGGAGGATTGCTTGAGCCTGGGAGGTCAAGGGTGCAGCGAGCCATGATTGCACCACTGCACTCTGACCTGGGTGACAGAGGAAAATACTGTCTCCAGAAAAAGAAAGACAGAGAGAGAGAGAGAAGAAAGAAAGAGAGAGAGAGAGAGAGGGAAGAAGGGAGGGAGGGAGGGAGGAAGGAAGAAAGGAAGGGAGAGAGAAAGAAAGCAGGTCTCAGAAGCAATGGATGAGTATTCTTTAACTACAATGTAGCAGACTCTTTATTAAAAATAAAATTTGATGTTTATTTTTAATCATGTTCAACGCACTTTATTCTCAGATATAGTCTTCCTGTGAATAACTTTCTTTTAGAATGGAGGAACCAATCTCTGTGCTGTGGATGACTCCAACGACCATGTGCTCTCTGTATGGGACTGGCAGAAAGAAGAAAAACTGGCGGATGTGAAGGTCATACTCCGAGCCTTTTTTGGGCTGCATTAATGTTTTCCCATTCCGAGCCGCCCTGGCACAGTGGTAGCCCCCTTTCAGCGGGCTCCAGGGCCCATTCCTGCCCCAGCCCTTGGGTATGACGCCTTCGCCTTAGAATCCTTTGTCCCCAGTTCCTCTCCCATCATGAGACTTTGACCCCAGGTCCTGTTAGGGTTTTTCCTTTTTTCACCATGTCTGTAAGATTCTTCTCTTCCTCATTTCATAGCCACTACCCTTTTAATTCATCCAGTCATGTATTTGCTGGCTGTTTCTTTCATTTGCTTGACACACCCCGAGCGCCTGCCGTGTGCTCGCACGGTGCGTGGAGGCCCGGAAATGCGCTCAGGTGTAAAGGTGCACTCGCTGCCCAGGCACCTGCAGCTGCGGGAAGGGCGGGTGTGGGCGGGGGCCACCAGCACAGGGGCGCCTCCGAAGTGGAACAGACTCAGGAAAGACCAGCGGGAGCCCCGAGCTAAACCCCAAATCCTTCCCAACAGGATTCCTCCTGAGAGGGGCCCCTTGGGACTTCTTTGACTGCCTCTAATCCATTTTGCACAATATGTCAAATTCCCTTGCCTTGACTTTCTGACCTTTTTCTATTTCTATTTTCTATTGGATCCCTATTTTTATAGAATTGAATTCAGATTTCTCATCTTTGCATCTATCAACCTTAGATAACCTTACTCACCTAACTTTCTCTGCTACGTGTCTGGGAGGCAGACCTTATTTTCTGACCAGGCCTCTTCCCTGACACCTGTGTTCATGCCCTAGCCCCACCTTCTGATATTCTAGGCAGGTGTTTAAGTTCTTCTTGCTATGTTGCTAGGTTAGAAGGCATCACAGGTAGGTCATTATCCAGGCTCAAGAATGTGTAACTGCATTATTAAATAGAAGCAGTGATCAGAACCCCATCCAACAGGCCAAGGTGCGGGTCTTGGAAGTTAGGGTGTGGGCTGAGGGTGGTGGAGGTGACACCCGAAAAGCTAGATCTACTCCATGGGACCCCAGGCCGGGTCCCTGAGCCACAGGCAGAGTTCCAGGAGTCAGACGCAGGAGAGACTCCCTGGGGAAACGGGCAGCCAGAGTCAGCCAGGAGCAATGGACCTTTGTAAAATCCATTCCAGGGCCCTCCCTGGAGATTACATTTACTAGATAGGGGGCGAAGCCTAGAGATCTGCATTTTACCATTTCTGGTGATTCCATTTGACCAGCCAGACTGGGAACCCATGACTAGCAGATGAGAGCAAACGCTTGCAGGCAGGTGAGAGCAAACGCTTGCAGGCAGGTGAGAGCAAACGCTTGCAGGCAGGTGAGAGCAAACGCTTGCAGTTCTGAAGTCCCTCTGGTCCTAACTCCCTCCTCAGCAAAGCATGCTGCGTGCCTGCTCTATGCCTGGCCCTGGGAGAGGCCCTGGCCTAGACAGAGGACTCCTGGGTGCTTCCTGTCCTCAAGGACTCATTGTCAAGTGGGGGAGACAGACAAGGAGGAGGCATTAAGGCCCGCACCAGCATACGCTTGGTGTTTATAGCAAGATGGATTCAATGGGGGAAATCATAGGCGTTGTGCTTGCCTTGAATTTCTTATTTATTTGTGGCTCAGATTTTACTTGTTTTCCTACATGTGTCTTACGTGTTTTAAGAGATGTGAGGCATCCGAGTCCCTGTTTTTCCTATAGTGCTCTAATGAAGCTGTGTTTGCTGCGGATTTCCACCCCACGGACACCAACATCATAGTTACCTGTGGAAAATCACATCTCTACTTTTGGACACTAGAAGGAAGCTCCCTTAATAAGAAGCAAGGATTATTTGAGGTAAAGTTAAATTATGATTTTTGTTTTATTTTTCTCTGGTATTTGTGATTGGCTAGATGCATCTTTCTGGGGGCTGTGGTGCTCAACACGATCCCTTGGGATCCCTCACATAGTTGGGGAGCGCGTCACACCTGGTAAGTAACACTGGTAATGAAGTGAAGAAAAAGACAGGGCAAGCCTAGGTGGAGGGCAGGGAAGGACCTGGACCCGGGGAGCACCAGGCCTCCCACAGTGGCACTGGTTGCAGAGAGTATCGGGCGATGAAGTCATCAGGAGGCAGGCAACCTGCCTTTGCAAAGGATGATAGAGACTTCCTGTGCCTTTTGTCTGGACGTTGTGGGGCTGTGAGAGTACCAGGGGGCAGCACCTCTTCCCAGGGGTCCATCTGCCACCACCTCCCTGAAGCTCGTTTCGAGGACCCCTTTATTCTGGTGCTCGGGCCCTGCCCTTTAGGCTGACAGCATAGCCCCACCCTTCTCCCTGGCCAGTACCCTCCTCCATTTGCTATCTGCAGCTTTATGATTCCCCAGCCACTTGGAGTTGCTAGAAATCACTTTGTCTTAGAGCAGTTAATCTCACAGCAGAAGTTATGTAACTTCTGCTGATGGACAGAAATGCAAGGTGTGCACAGTGGTTACAGAAGGTGACACTGTCCAGCTTGGGACCACTGCGAATCTAGATGTTATTAGTACAAATGAAAGGTTGTCTGGAATATATATATGCTGTATGGATTAAATATATATATATATAATTTTTTTGCCACATTCTACAGAAACAAGAAAAGCCAAAGTTTGTCCTCTGTGTGACTTTCTCTGAAAATGGTGACACCATTACTGGAGATTCGAGTGGCAACATCTTAGTATGGGGAAAAGGTAATAAGTGATAGTTCCCAAAAACCAATGGTTTTTGGTAATGTTGTAAGAGATCAAACATGAGTGCTTTAAGAATTGTCTATTAATACAATGTACAGGAGTAGGATTAAATTTCAAGTTACAGAGACACACACATACATGTGTGCATGTGTAACTTGAAACCATAGAACTAGAACAGAGAAAAAGCAGAGAATAGTAAGAGTTACTGACCTTTATAGCATTCTGAAAGGCTCTTTAAGCCCAAGCTATTATGATGGAATTAAATAGCTTTATTAGGAAATCCACTGACAGATTATAATGATGAAATTAATGACTACTTATAGGTCTGTAAAATATTTAAGTAATTATCCTGATTTATATAGCATTTGACAGACATTTATTGAAAGCTAATTATGTGCTAACTGTGAACATACAACTAAGTCAGACCCAAATCCCCTGCTGTCCTTGAGCAAAGTTTGCTAAGGGAGATGCATCACTCAGAAAGCATGCATCCAGTTATGTCCAGTGAGCATTTATGAGCACTTACCCTGTGACAGGAAAAAAGGGAAAATCCACCATCCCTTTTCTCAAGGATCTTTCAGTTGGGGCTGAAGGTGGAGACGGACTTGTAAATGCAATTTCAGAAGCATATGGTGACGTTTCCAGTATCCCTGCTGCTCTTGGCGCTAGGTGTCTTATCCACTGTTCACTTAATCCTTAGAACAATCTTGCAGGGTAAGCAGCAGCCCCATTCCACCAAGGGGGATCTGAGGGTACAGTAACTAAGCAATTTGTCCAGAGAAACAGCTCACTAGAGAGCAGGGATCTAAACTCAGAGCCCACATTCTCAGCCATGAGAATGCATATTCAACAATGCATATTTTCCTTCATTCTAAAGTAACCCATTTCATACTTGTCTGGTGCTCTGCGAACGTCTAGAAATTGGATCCTTCATAGATTCATATTGCAATGATGTGCTCACGGACAACATTGCCTTTTAAAACCAAAGTCAGATAAGATTAGAAAATGGGCAGAGGCAGCCTTTTGACAGTGTGCTAATGATGGTTTTCTTGGTGTGTTTAGGTACAAATCGAATAAGCTATGCAGTTCAAGGGGCCCATGAGGGTGGCATTTTTGCACTTTGTATGTTAAGAGATGGCACACTGGTGTCGGGAGGTGGGAAAGACCGAAAGCTCATTTCTTGGAGCGGGAACTATCAAAAACTTCGTAAAACAGAGGTAAGTCATCAAGGCTACTGCTAAAATTTGTTTTTAACCTAAACTATTATCCTTTATTAGTTTGAAATCTGTAGCTTACAGTTTTGAAAATTGTTTAGATGAAATCACATGATATGGGAGCAATGTATTTTATTAAAATCCTGGAGGCAGGTTAAATATAACTAATGAAATAGAATTAGGTTGAGGTTGTAACACACTTCATATTTAGAATATTTTTATTCTCAATTTTCCAAAGGACTGTTACCCACATTTTGCTTTATTATAAAAATCTGTCTTCTCTTTTTTTTTTTTTTTTTTTTGAGGGCAGGGTCTGGCTCTGTCACCCAGGCTGGAGTGCAGTGGTGTGATCACAGTTTACTGCAACCTCTGCCTCCTGGGCTCAAGCGATCCTCCACCTTAGCCTCCCAAGCAGCTGGAACTACAGACACACACCACCACACCTGGCTAATTTTTGTAATCTTTTAGAGATGTTGCCCAGGCTGGTTTGGAACTCCTGAGCTCAAGCGATCCTCCCACCTCAGCCTCCCAAAGTGCTGGATTACAAGCGTGAGCCACCACGCCCAGCCTCCTTTAACTTTTAATTTCTAACATGTTATTTTGGAGACATTATTACATTGAGTGAACTAGTATTTGTTGAGTATCTACTTTGTACGTGGCACTCACCTAAGTGCCAGCGTGCTCCCTAGGGCTGTGACTCCTTTTGATACCCAGTGTACCTCCCCATTATCTACTTGGCAGCCCTGCATTCCAGTAGGCACCAGAGACAAGATATTTAATTTTCCTTCTACCCACTCAGTGAATTTTCTCCCCCAATTCCAGGAAATTGTGAGCAGACACTGCAAAATTGGCCTCATTCTGAAGAGTGATGCTTTTCATCCCTAGCTTAGAATGGACAGACTGTAGGACTTTGAACCCAGATACGCACAAAACACTTATATTTTACATCACAGAGCAATATGGCACCACCCTCTGGCAGTGTGAAAATTTAGTTCTGTTGAGTATTTCCCTTAATAAAGGAAGGTCTTCATCTGAGCTTTGGAAATCACTTCCCCTTGCATGGAGATTCTGTTGTGAGAACATTTTTATTAATAAGATTTGACCAGCGTTTAGTTGAATATATTGTGAATTGCTAGAGTCATAGACATGCCCATGTCATATACAACTGTAAAGAAAGCTCCAAAGCCCCATTTAATTTCATTAAAGCTATTCACTGTTTGTTAGTATCTGGTTCCTCCTCATTAGCATGGGTCATCATGAACTTGACTCAAATCTGTGCTAACAAACCACACTGGAGAATGTGTGAGGGGAGGCTGCTTCTATCCTGGAACGGGAAAGCCTAACAGCAACCTGCCAGGGTCAAGCTGCAGCGTTTGTTCTTTTTATAGTACAAGAACTTTGTTTCTTTATCATAGCAAATTGTTCTTAATGCCTGTGTTTTGCAATTCTTTCTGTTAACATTTAGATTATTCCATATGTTTATATTGATCTTTAAACTGAACAGAGTGACATTGCCAAAGAATTTACCATTTTAAATTGTGTTATGGCAGTGTTACATTATTATTATTATTATTATTATTATTATTATTATTATTATTATTATTATTTTGAGACAGGGTCTAGCTGTGTTACCCAGGCTGGAGTGCAATGGCGTGATCTTCAGCCTCCGCCTCCCAGGCTCAAGTGATTCTCCCACTTCAGCCTCCTGAGTAGCTGGGACTACACGCACCACCATACCCAGCTAATTTGTTTTGTATTTTTTGTAGAAATGGAGTCTCGCTATATTGCCCAGGCTGGTCTGGAACTCCTGGGCTCAAGCATTCCCCCCACCTCGGCCCCCCAAAGTGCTGGGATTACAGATGTGAGCTACCACGCCTGCCCTATATTATTTTTTATTTTCTGAATTGTATCTACTGTTGCTATCAGAAATTATAAAAAGTAAAGAGAAAACTTACCAGTAGCATTCCTTATTTTTAAATTTTGTTGAGGAAAATGCTTTTTCTTAACCTTGTTCTTGCTTATGCTTCTAAGATATATAAAGATATGTAAAATGTTTGTAAGTTTAAAAGTAAGGCTTAGGGTTTTGATCACTCACTCAGCAGTTGGCTGTGGTATCTGTTTTTTTGAGATGGAGTTTCTCTCTTGTCGCCCAGGCTGGAGTGTAGTGACGTCATCTCAGCTCACTGCAACCTCCACCTCCTAGGTTCAAGTGATTCTCCTGCCTCAGCCTCCCAAGGAGCTGGGATTACAGCCACCCACCGCCACGCCCAGCTAATTTTTGTATTTTTACTAGAGACAGGTTTCAGCATGTTGGCCAGGCTGGTCTCTAACTCCTGACCTCAGGTGATCCACCTGCCTCAGCCTCCCAATGTGCTGGATTACAGGCGTGAGCCACCGTGCCTGGCCAGCTGTGGTGTCTGTGAAACTCTCCGTATATATGTGTATACAACATATATATTTGAATGTACATTATATGTATATACATATGTGTATATAAAACTGTTATAGGGACTATCATTATGATAAATAAGTGTTTTGAATGACCGAGCTAACAACTGAATGAAATTGTACATCTTTTCTTTTCATACGACTTTTCAATGCAGATTCCAGAACAGTTTGGTCCAATACGTACAGTGGCCGAGGGGAAAGGTGATGTGATCCTGATTGGCACAACTCGAAACTTTGTCCTGCAGGGCACTCTGTCAGGGGACTTCATACCCATTACTCAGGTACGATCCCGCTCAGCAGGCCCAGCAAACACTCTCACTTTGCATTATATCAGACTCTAATCAAGCATTACAAACAGTTGCTCATTACTGTGCTTTATACTACAATAACCTTCCTCCACCCCAGAGTGTCAGTGGCTGCCGGCGATGGGAGGAGAGAAACTGTTGAGAGCAATTATGCAGTCAGCCTGAAGCCTCGGTTTATCATCGCTTCGGCTCCTGAGGGCGGACTGTAGTATCTCAGAGAGCTTCTGTTTGTCTTGGTTCTTTGTAGGGTCACACTGATGAGCTCTGGGGACTGGCCATCCATGCCTCAAAACCTCAGTTCTTGACCTGTGGGCATGACAAGCATGCCACTCTCTGGGACGCTGTGGGTCACCGTCCTGTCTGGGACAAAATAATAGAGGTAAACATGCACATTACATTTCCATTTTTCTTACAGAAATTCATCTGGAACATGTTTATTTTTTGCATGAAATCAACAGTGATATAAAGTTGTCCCAAAGCAGATGTTATGTATCTATTTAGAGTTGCCTTAACATTGCAATTGCATTTAACAGTGTTACTTTTAACATTGCCTCAAGTGGCCTCAGCCATGTACTTTTGAAGTTTACTGTTGAAATTTTCTGACAGCAAATTGTTCTTTCCAAGTTCATTGTCAGATTTTCCGAGTACAGTCTCTCAGCCATCTTAAGAGCTAAAAAATCCTTGTTATGAGCCTACATTCCATTTACAGTGTACCCTCTGAATAGGAATTTACAAGCTGTACTAAACACACGATTGAATATATCTCTGCATTTTGAGTTTGATGGTAAAGTGAACTTTCATTTGAAAGTCAGCTGGGCACGGTGGCTCACGCCTGTAATCCCAGCACTTTGGGAGGCCAAGGCAGGCGGATCACCTGAGGTTGGGAGCTCGAGACCAGCCTGACCAACATGGAGAAACCCCGTCTCTACTAAAAATACAAAATTAGCCGGGCATGGTGCTGCATGCCTGTAGCCCCAGCTACTTGGGAGGCTGAGGCAGGAGAATAGCTTGAACCCGGGAGGCAGTGAGCCGAGATCGCACCATTGCACTCCAGCCTGGACAACAACAGTGAAACTCTGTCTCAAAAAAAAAAAAAAAAAAGTCAACATCTCTGTGAATTTGGCAAAAGAAACTCTGATGACCTGTCAGAGTGTTGAAATGTCCTTTCCCCACATGTATTACTTGAGCACTGACTGTTTGCATGCCAAGCACCGTGCGTGTATTTTCGTTAATCCCTGTAGCAGCTCTGCAGGTTGAAGAGGTTTTTTTAACTCTGGTTTTATTGATTAGGAAATAGGGGTGTAGAAAAGTTAAATAACTTGCCAAGGTCACTAAGTTAGTGAGTGACCTAGTCAGTGTTAGGACCCAGCTCAGTCTGACTCCTAAACTCTGGTTCTTTCCACTGCATTACACTGTAGCGAATCAGAAGCTCGTTCTCTGTTGCCGGTGCCCTAATGATCTGTGCAATCCCATTGCACAGAGGAAATAACCCTTCTGTAAACCAACACATCATCCTTTCATCCCCCATGGAGTTACTGGCATGTCCCAGGTGCTAGGTCCAAGTTTCAGCTCCTTCCCTTCATTTTCACGGAAGGGGTGCTGGTCACTGGTGGCCAGCTGAGCCGTGAGGTGGAGGGGCCCAAGGGTCAGGCACTGCCACTCAGAAAGCAGACGTGACCCGCGATGGCAGGAAGAGGCTAAAGGAAACAGTGTTATGTGTTCTATCTATGCCCTGGTGGTCCCGGAGGGCTGAAGGCAATGACGGCTCCTTTACCAGGCTGTTAATCATCTAGCCTAACATAAGGGTCAGAGCTTCAAACTGGAAGCCAGAGAACTGCCATGAAGTTCTAGCTCCTCTGCCTACTGGTCTTGTGACTTGGACATCTATAACTCAGTGTCCACATCTCAAAATTGTTACAAGGCCCAAATGAATGACACAGACAGAAGTGCTTTGTAAATGGTAGAACTTCGAGTGAACATGATTTCTATTTGTATATTAGTGGCGGCTCTGAGCTTAACTACAGCTCCTACTATAGAAAGAAAGCACTGAAATAATGTAATCATATATTAAGTTTCTTTCTCTTGGTTTTTTTAGATTATCTGGTGGATCTCAGGGCCTCCTATTTTCATTACCATTGCTACTTTTCTTCCCGATTTCCTTAATCTCTTCTCTCTTCATCCTAAACACTGCTGCCAAGTGCCCTTCTATCTAAAACACACATGCAATCGTGTCACTCTTTTTATTGAAAGGACAAGACCATTCAAAGTGTTCTTATTTCCTAGTGATCCAAGTCCTTACCGTGGCAGTGACATCACTAGTGTCATATACTCTGTGCTGTAAGCCCATTGACCTACCTGCCATTCCTCAAATATGTCCAGAGCTGTGTTGCTTCCATTGCTTTTATTGCATTGTTGCCCCCTTCACCGTGGTCCAAAAAACGACTGGAGTGGCCACATCTCACCTTCACCAGTGGTAATTCTTCCTCTCCTGGGAGGCCCAAGTCCAGTCATCTGCACCGTGAAGCCTTGGCCCAGCTTCCCAGTGTCACCTCATCCCTCCCTCCCCTGTGATTCCACAGCACCTGGAATTGTGTCTCTTTCATGGATCATTCCATCTTGTATCCGAGTTAGTGATGACTGTGAGTGTGTTCCACTGGCTCAAAACCTAGAATATGCCTCGCTCATGTCGTGATCCTTCCAGGCCTCCATAGTGTTTTGCACCCAGTGGACACTCACCCAGTCTCTGTGTCGTAGAGTTGGGTGCTGTGGTTGTCTTTCCAGACCAATCAAGCACACTATTCGATGAGCTTACCACTCAGCACAGGGAGTCAGCTGAAGGGGCTTGGTTCTATAAACTGACGTTGTAGAAGGGCATTTACCTGTCTTTCATCGGATTACTGTAGATATGAAAGGATATAAGACAAAAAGGGGAAAATCCTAAAATGATAGAAATTTAGGTCAGGCTCAATAGCTTACACCTATAATCCCAGCACTTTGGGAGGCAGAGGCAGGAGGATCACTTGAGCCCAGGAGTTTGAGACCAGCCTGGGCAGCATAGGAGCCTCCATCTCTACAAAATAAAAACTAAAAAAATTAGCCAGGCGTGGTGGCACACACCTGTAGTCCCAGCTGCTTCAGAAGCTGAGCCAGGAGCATCACTTGTGCCTGGGAGGTCAAGGCTGCAATAAGCCATGATCATGCCATTGCACTCCAGCCTGTGTGATAGAGTGAGATCCTGCCTCAAAAAAGGGTGGGGGTGGGTAGAAATTTATCATTATTGAAATGCGGCATTCATTCAAGTAGTAAAACATTTTTCTCTAGAAAAGAGACTTTTCAGATAGAGCCATTTTATTGCATTGTTGCCCCCTTCACCGTGGTCCAAAAAACGACTGGAGTGGCCACATCTCACCTTCACCAGTGGTAATTCTTCCTCTCCTGGGAGGCCCAAGTCCAGTCATCTGCACCGCGAAGCCTTGGCCCAGCTTCCCAGTGTCACCTCATCCCTCCCTCCCCTGTGATTCCACAGCACCTGGAATTGTGTCTTTTTCATGGATCATTCCATCTTGTATCCGAGTTAGTGATGACTGTGAGTGTGTTCCACTGGCTCAAAACCTAGAATATGCCTCGCTCATGCCGTGGTCCTTCCAGGCCTCCATAGTGTTTTGCACCCAGTGGACACTCACCCAGTCTCTGTGTCGTAGAGTTGGGTGCTGTGGTTGTCTTTCCAGACCAGTCAAGCACACTATTCGATGAGCTTACCACTCAGCACAGGGAGTCAGCTGAAGGGGCTTGGTTCTATAAACTGACGTTGTAGAAGGGCATTTACCTGTCTTTCATCGGATTACTGTAGATATGAAAGGATATAAGACAAAAAGGGGAAAATCCTAAAACGATAGAAATTTAGGTCAGGCTCAATAGCTTACACCTATAATCCCAGCACTTTGGGAGGCAGAGGCAGGAGGATCACTTGAGCCCAGGAGTTTGAGACCAGCCTGGGCAGCATAGGAGCCTCCATCTCTACAAAATAAAAACTAAAAAAATTAGCCAGGCGTGGTGGCACACACCTGTAGTCCCAGCTGCTTCAGAAGCTGAGCCAGGAGCATCACTTGTGCCTGGGAGGTCAAGGCTGCAATAAGCCATGATCATGCCATTGCACTCCAGCCTGTGTGATAGAGTGAGATCCTGCCTCAAAAAAGGGTGGGGGTGGGTAGAAATTTATCATTATTGAAATGCGGCATTCATTCAAGTAGTAAAACATTTTTCTCTAGAAAAGAGACTTTTCAGATAGAGCCATATAGCCCTAAGGAATTAGAAGTGTGAGCGTGTGTGTGCGCATGCGCACGTGTGTGTGTGTGTGTTATGCTATAGTGTTCTATCTGTTCATCAATTTACACTTCCTTTAAAATATTTTAGGATCCAGCTCAGTCTTCTGGTTTTCATCCTTCAGGGTCTGTGGTTGCAGTCGGAACACTCACTGGGAGGTAAGTCCATGCCAGCAGGGCTTGTGCTTGCAAAGCTTATGGAAAAGAGGCCTGTTGCTTCTATTTCCCCAGGAACAGGCCCTGTTCAGCTCTTGGCTGCGTGCTCGCAGCTTCTAATGACTTACCAAGAATTAAGTTAAAAGAAACTTGAAACAGTGGCCCATTACATTTTGAGCCTTGGGGAAATCTGAGGAAAGCTGTAGACCCTCTCTCCTGGAAAAGGACCCTCTACCTCCACTAGACACACACACACTTTTCTTGTTTGTTTTTTGAGACAGGTCTCACCCTGTCACCCAGACTGGAGTGCAGTGGCACAATCACAGCTTACTGCAGCCTCCAGGGCTCAAGTGATCCTCCCACCTCAGCCTCCCAAGTAGCTGGGACTACAGATGTGCACTGCCATGCTTAACTGTTTTGTCTTTTGTAGGGATGCAGGTCTCACTGTGTTGCCCAAGCTGGTCTTGAACTCTAGCTCAAATAGTCCTCCCACCTCAGTCTCCCGAAGTGCTGAGATCACAGGCATGAGCCACCACACCCAGCCACACACACATTTTGCCTACAGTGTCAGAGGATTTGTGGAGCTTCTCAAGCCCTGATCTTTAGTCTGTGGGAGGAGGCTTGACTTTGGAATGAAGCAAGAAAACATTTCAAAGTGCTGAGTGTTTAAAAATGCTTTTTCTACTCCTGGGCACAGTGGCTCACACCTGTAATCCCAATCCTTTGAGAGGCCTAGGCAGGAAGATCCTGTGAGGCTAAGAGTTCGAGACCAGCCTGGGCAACATAGCGAGACTCTATCTCTAGAAAACATTTAAAATTGAGCTGGGTAGGCCGGGCGCAGTGGCTCAAGCCTGTAATCCCAGCACTTTGGGAGGCCGAGACGGGCGGATCACAAGGTCAGGAGATCGAGACCATCCTGGCTAACACAGTGAAACCCCGTCTCTACTAAAAAATACAAAAAACTAGCCGGGCGTGGTGGCGGGCGCCTATAGTCCCAGCTATTCGGGAGGCTGAGGCAGGAGAATGGCATGAACCCGAAAGGCGGAGCTTGCAGTGAGCTGAGATCCGGCCACTGCACTCCAGCCTGGGCGACAGAGCAAGACTCTGTCTCAAAAAATAAATAAATTAAAATAAAATAAAATAAAATAAAATAAAATGAAATAAAATAAAATTGAGCTGGGTGTGGTGATCCACACCTGTATTAGCTACTCAGGAGGCTAAGGCAGGAGGATCTCTTAAGATCAGGAGTTTGAGGCTGCATTGCACTATGATTGCACCACTGTACCCTCACCTAGGCCACAGAGCGAGACCTCATCTCTTAAAAAAAAATTAAAAATAGAAAATAAATGCTTTTTCTAGCTTCCCTTTTAAAATTTTAGGAACCGCCCAGACCCTGAGCCTCATATTCCAATTGAGTTAATACCTATTCACCTGGCACCTCCTACATGCAGGACGGTGGATCTGCGTTTGCAGCTCAGCTTTGCCACTCAGCAGCAGTGTCTTTGAACCAGTTACATAAGCTCTCCAAATTTGTTTCTTTTTCTGTAAATGGTGATATTCCCTGCCTGGCCGTGTTGCACTGAGGATCGAAGGAGACAGCGTGCAGAGCACCTGCCGGGGCTGCCTGTTAGGCACTGCGGGGGTTATTATTATCATTGTTTTCCGGGTTTTGATTGAACCTTTATGCTGGTCGTTGTACTGCATACATTTACTGTGGTTTCAGTCAAATATTTTTCCTCCCACCCTTCCTCTCTAAAAAGTGTAGCGCTTAGATTCTGTTGTTATGACTGCACAGCCTGTATGGGTAAAGAAAGGGTAGCCCTTTGTAGGTCATAGGCAACAATATCTTAAGTATTGGGCTCCACATATCCAACAGAATTCTTCATGAAAACATTTGTGTATCCTCACACACAGACACACACACACACACACACACACACACACACACCACCTCCCATTTGACTCCCTTTGAGAAAGCTGAAGCTTCTAAGTCATCAGGCTCCCACCTTCTGATGACTGGCCTCCCAGTAGGCTGACAGATGCCGGCATACCTACTGTGCGTGTAGGACACGGTGACAGTGCTCAGAATCACAGTGTCCCGTGGTGGAGGAGATGGGTCAGGTCACCTAATCCAGCCCCTCATCTATTATGCCTCTTGCCATTCAGGTCCTAGGTTGGGCTTAGCTCCCGATGCTGTTGATTTAACAGGACACTTCAAAACCATGTTCTAATCAGCCCCAGCCTCTATTAAGGTTAAATAGCACATTAAAGGTAAATGGTTGTTGAAGATGCAAGAAATCGGCCCTGAGAAGCAAAATCCACATTTCTGGGGGGCAGGACCTCTGACAATGCATGGCTAGGGGGCTCCTGTGGAAGACAAGGGACACTCACTCTGCCGTGGACTTGCTGATGGGATGTCCTCACGCAGCTTAGAAACTGCAGCAGCAGGGAGCCCGCATTCCATTTATCCGTAAAACACCAGGGGCTCACCACCACCCCTGAGAATATAACAGGCAGGAGAGTTCAGTCATTCTGATGTTAACACACGTTTAATGGGTACTGTGTGCTTATCAGAGGATACAAAGCACTTCCACGTCCATTATCATTCGACTTTCATATTGAGCCTGCAAAGCAGACCTGGGCTCTTCTCCCCATCTCACCACTGAGGAAATGGCCCGGCGAGGTGAAATTATAAGACCAGTCCTCCACTCCGATTTCTCCCATTTGCTCTGTGCTTTCCTTCGCCCTGTTGGTTGCAGGCTAGCATCCCCATAAGGCCTGTACTCTCAGCCTGCTCTGTCTGCAGCACCACTGGGAACACCACCACCCCGGAGCTGTCCCAGCCCCGTCCTCCTGCATGGTCCTGCTTCGCCCTGGAAACCTGGGTGAGCTCTTGCAGGTGGCCCTTCGCTGCTTCCTCTCACCATATGCCCTGGTCCTAGGTATTGGCATCTTCCCTGCCCAGAGCTTTCTCTCCATGTGTAAATGACAAAGCACAAACACAGAGAAACCATATCATAGTGTTGATAACGGCATAGTTTTGAATGCTAGCCAATATACTGTTCCTTTCTTAGAAAATGCTTTTATAGGAAATTTTCTTTGAATAAAAGCTGGGAACAAGCTTTCTTATTAAGCAAATTTCGAGTATTTATTAAGCTTTTATAATTAATAATTTTTATTCATCCCACTATTGTAATAATCTTCATTTTCTCACTAAACAACTTACTGTGCTTTTTCTCATGTTGACAACAGGTGGTTTGTGTTTGACACAGAAACAAAAGACTTGGTCACCGTTCACACAGATGGAAATGAACAGCTCTCTGTAATGCGATACTCACCAGGTTAGACTCCAAACCATTCACTACTTCATTTTTTTAATCAACTTTTATTTTAAGTTCTGGAGTCCACGTGCAGGATGTGCTGGTTTGTTACATAGGCAAACGTGTGCCATGGTGGTTTAATGCACAGATCAACCCATCACCCGGCTGGGCACAGTAGCACACGCCTGTAATCCCAGCACTTTGGGAGGCCGAGGCGGGTGGATGACAAGGTTAGAAGATCAAGACCATCCTGGCTAACACGGTGAAACCCCGTCTCTACTAAAAATACGAAAAAATTAGTTGGGCTTGGTGGTGGGCGCCTGTAGTCCCAGCTACTTGGGAGGCTGAGGCAGGAGAGTGGCCTGAACCTGGGAGGCGCAGCTTGCAGTGAGCCAAGATCACACCACTGCACTCCAGCCTGGGTGACAGAGCGAGACTCTGTCTCAAAAAAAAAAACAAAAAAAACAAAAAAACCCATCACCCATGTATTAAGCCCAGCACCCGTTAGCTGTTGTTCCTCATGCTCTCCCTCCCCCTCACCACCCTCCAGCAGGCCCCAGTGTGTGTTGTTCCCCACCTAGTGTGCCCATGTGTTCTCATCATTCAGCTCCCACTTACAAATGAGCACATGCGGTGTTTGGTTTTGTGTCCCTGAATTAGTTTGCTGAGGATAACAGCTTCCAGCTCCATCCATATCCCCACAAAAGACATGGTCTTTTTCCTTTTTATGGCTGCATAGTATTCCATGGTGTATATATACCGCATTTTCTTCGTCCAGTCTACCATTGATGGACATTTGGGTTGATTCCAGGTCTTTGCTATTGTAGCCACTACTTTAAAATCCCAACAGAATTGAGATTCTGTGTCCGTGTCTTTAAAGAAAAAATTTCACAAGCCTCCTCAGAGTAAATTTTAAATTAGACATGCACATAATTGTGGCATTTAGGGTTCTTTTCCCTCCTTTGGGTCACTATGCTTGTGTTATGGAAAATTTCAAACATAGACACATTTAAACAGAATAGAATAATGAACCCCGTGTATTCATCTGCCAGCTTCAGCGATGATCAGCTCGCAGCCAGTTTCCTCTGTCTGTAGCCCCACCCACCGCCCGCCTCCCATATTCTGAAGCAGTTCCCAGACATCTCATCATTTCATCTGTTAATAATTGTATATATCCCAAAAAGATAAGGACTCTTTTTAACAGCTTTATTGAGGAATAATTTACATACAATAATGAGCCACTATAAATGTACAACTCATCGATTCTTTATGCGCTTGTGGAGCTATGCAACAACCATCATTGCAGTCCAGTTTTTGAACCTTTTCATCACCCAAAAAGTTTCCTCCATGCCCGTTAGCAGTTCACCTCCACCCTCACTCCTGGTCCGAGGAAACTACTGATCTGTTTTCTGTTTCCAAAAATTGCTTTTTCTGGACATGTCGTGTAAATGGATTCCTACAATATGTAGTTGGTTGCATCTGACTTCTTTCACATAGAATCATGTTTTTGAGATTAATCCATGTTACTATGCACATATCAGTAGTATATTCCTTCTAATTGCTGGTTAGTTTTCCGTTTTATGGATATATACTACATCTTGTTTATCCATGCATCAGTTAATGATGGATTTTTTTTTTTTTTTTTGAGACAGAGCCTCACTGCAACCTCTGCCTCCCAGGTTCAAGCGATTCTTCTGCCTCAGCCTGCCGAGTAGCTGGGATTACAGGTGCATGCCACCACACCTGGCTAATTTTTGTATTTTTAGTAGAGAGGGGTTTCGCCTTATTGGCCAGGCTGGTCTCAAACTCCTCACCTCAGGTGATCCACCCACCTCAGCCTCCCAAAGTGCCAGGATTACAGGCATGAGCCACTGCACCCTGGCCTTATGGATTTAGATTGTTCCTGGTTTTTTATTATTATGAATAATGCTATGAACATTCATGTATATGCCTTTTTGTGTTTGTTTTCATTTCTCGGGTAAATTCTTAGGAGTGGAATTGACGAATTGTATGGTAAACTTATGTTTAACATTTTATGAAACTGCCAGACTGCCTGTCCTGTTTTACATTCTCACCAGCCGTGTGCTAGGGTTCTAGTGTCATCACATCCTCCCAATACTTGTTGTTGTCTTTTTGATTATAGTCATTCTAAAGAGGGTATAATGGCATCTCATTGTGGTTTTAATTGGTGTTTCCCTAATGACTACTGATATTGAGCATTTTTTAATGTGCATATTAGTCATTCCAATACTTTCTTCGGTGAAACATCTGTTCAGATATTTTGCCAATTTCTAATTGGGCTGTTTGTCTTACTGTTGAGTGGTAAGTTTTCTTTATGTATTCCATATATACAGTTTTTATCGGATAGATGATTTGCAAATATTTTTTCTGAATGTATGGCTTATCTTTTCTTTCTTTCTTTTTTTTTTTTTTTTTTTTTTTGAAACAGCGTCTCGCTCTGTCACCCAGGCTGGAGTGCACTGGCACGATCATGGCTCACTGCAGCCTCGACCTCAGGTCCAAGCAGTCCTCACCTCAGCCTCCCAAGTAGCTGGGAACACAGGCACACACCACCACACCTGGCTAATTTTTGTATTTTTGTTAGAGACAGGGTTTCACCATGTTGCCCAGGCTGGTCTTAAACTCCTGGGCCCAAGTGATCCACCTGCCTCGGCCTCTCAAAACTGCTGGGATTATAGGCGTGAGCCACCATGCCCAGCCTTTATTTTCTTAACAGGGTGTTTTAAAGCACAAAAGCTTTTAATTCTGATGAAGTTCAGTTTATCAATTTTTCCTTTTGTGGATCATGCCTTTGGGGTTATATCCAATATCACGAATATTTCCTCGTATGCTTTCTTTTAGAAGAGTTGTTTTAGCCCTCACATTCGAGTCTGTGATCCATTTGAGTTAATTACACAAGAATTACAAGAGTGCACAAGACTTGTGTCTTGTGGATGGTGAGAGGGAGAGCCTGTTTGCTCTGCATAGAGATATCTAGTTGTCCCAGCACTTTTTGTTGAAAACACAGTCTTTCCCTGTTGAATTATCAATGACACTTTTGTCAAAAATCAATTGATCACAAATGTAAAGGTTTATTTCCAGATACTCAGTTCTGTCCCCTTCACCTATGTTTATCCTTGTGCCAGTAACCCACAGCCTTGATTACTATGACCTTAGAGGAAATTTTCAAATTGAGTAATGTCATTGCTGCAAATTTGTTGTTTTTTTCAGAAACAACAAATTGGTTTTTGTTGGCCATTTTAGGTTCCTACTATATGGAAAATTATATATAAACTTTAGGATCAGCTTGCCTTTTTTTATTATTTTATTTTTTGAAATTTTTTTGTAGACACAGGGTCTTACTTTGTGGCCCAGGCTGGTCTCAAACTCCTGGCCTCCAGAGATCCTCTCACCTCGGCCTCCCAAAGTGTTGGGATTACAGGTGTGAGGCACCACACTAGGCCAACTTGTCAATTTCTAACTTTGAAAAGCCTGTTAGGATTGTAAGAGGGATTATGTTTAATTTACAGATCAATATGGGGGAAATTGCCACCTCGACAATAGTGACTCTTCTAATCATGAGCAAAGAATGTCTCTCCATTTATTTAGGTCTTTACTTTTTCTCAGCAATGCTTTATAGTTGTTGGTGTACAAGTCTTGCACTTCCTTTGTTAAATTTATTCCAAAGTAAGTTTGTTTTTTTTTCTGCCATTGTGAATGGAATTGTTTTCTGAATTTTATTTTCAGTTGGTTGGCTGAATGTAAAAAAAGGATTGAATTTTGCACATAGATCTTATATCCTATGACCTTTCTAAACTTCTTTGATTAGTTTTAGTATAATAGTCCCTCCTAATTCACAGGGGCTGCCTTCCAAGACCCCCCACAGGTACCTGAAACTATGGATAACACCAAACGCTATGTGTGCTGTTTCTTCCTATACATACATGCCTACGGCAAAGTTAAATGTATAAATCAGGTACAGTAAGAGATTAACGACAATAATAGTAAAGTAGAACAATATAACAATATATTGTAACAAGAGTTATGTGAATATGGTTTCTCTTTCAGAATACTGTATTATACGTAATATTTGCAGACCACAACTGACCACAGGTTGCTGAAACCACAGAAAGTTTCAGTCTTATTATATTATATTAATATCACTATATTTTATTAATTTTCTTCTGTTTTTCTGAGGAGACAAAGCATTCAGTCTTTCATCCTGAGGGATGAAGATGCCCTTTATCATAGTGAGAAAGTTCCCTTCTATTTCTAATTTGTTTGGAGGTTTTAGCATGAATGGGATTGGAGTTTATCAGATGCTTTTTCTGCATCTGTTGGGATTATTATGTGGGTTTCATCCTTCATCTTATTTTATTAATATCACTACATTTATTAATTTTCAGATGTTAAACCAACTTCACATTCCTGTGATAAATTCCACTTAATCGTGGTATATAATCCCTTTTACATATGTTTGCTAGTGTTCTATTAAGGATTTTTGCCTCCGTGTTTCTAAGGGATATTGGTGTATAGTTTTCTTTCCTTGTGGCATCTTTGTCTGTCTCAGTTATGAGAGTGCTACCAGCCTTCCTGAGTAAATTAGGAAGTGTTCTCTCCTCTGTTTTCTGAAAGAGTTTGTGAAAAGGTGGTTTTATATTAAATATTTGACAGAATGTATGTGAATTTGGTGAAACCATCTGGGCTTTTCTTTGTGGGAAGGTTTTTAATTACTAATTCAATTTCTTCTTACAAGTCTATTCAGATTTCTCTCTTCTTCTTCTTCTTTTTTTTTTTTTTTTTTTCCATTCTGTCACCTAGGCTGGTGTACACTAGCACGAACACAGCTCACTGCAGCCCTGACCTCTTGGGCTTAAGTGATTCTGCCACCTCAGCCTCCCAAGAAGCTGGGACTGCAGGCATGCACCACCACACCCAGCTAATTTTTTTAGAGACAGGGTATTCCCATGTCTCTAAACTGAAACTCCTGGGCTCAAGCAGTCTTCCTGCCTCAGCCTCCC